ATAGCGGCTTTCAAAGAGGAGTGGGTCAGCCGTGACCTTTGACCCTACTTTCTGGTCATGCGGTTCACCTGAAGACCTCAGTGAGGGGCTCCAGAGGCCTTCCTTGAGGTCCTCTACAACAATTACAGAACAGAATTTCCATCCAGGGGGGTCGATTTCTTGGTGTCCCTAGTACCTTAAACTTTGAAAACACCTTCACGACTAAGAATTTCCAACCGCTCCCGAATCCAGGCTCGACCTACGCCCTGCCCCCCCTATCAAGCCAACCGACCGAGTCTCGAGTCGAGCACAGTCTAGACACCTTGGGAGGCTTCATTTTTCAATAAACATCATTTCATGATGGCACCGTGTCCTGTCGATCAGTGCGAATGAAGGCTCATGGAAGAAGATATCGTTCAGCAGCCGGATGCCACAGGAACGAAAGGGCAGATGGACACTACACAAAGTTCTTTCGCTTCCCGAATGCCCCAAGATCGGTGAGCACATGTAGACGTAGAAAAAATACATGTTTAGAGCCTACTAGTTCAGGGGGGTATTATACGTTGAGCACAAGCACGTTAATTCCTGACTCGGAAACCAGACAAACTAACGCCCTATAAGTACGTGGGCACGGTCCGAGGTTCTCCCATAAATATGTATACTATCACGGACATAAAAGTGAGTCGAGCGCGGAATGGCCCAGAGGTGGCGTTAGGGTCGCTTGACCCAGACCCGGGTCAAGTTGACCACCCCATTTGTAATTGCCAATAGATTATGATTAAGATAAGACTTAGTGCCCATACGTCTGGCACCTGGGCATTAGAAGGACCATTAACCCGGTGCTAGAAATGTTCTATTAAGTCAACAACGTCCTAAAAATACTGAACTTTACATGGGGTCCGGCCTCAAGGCATGGACCTAGGGTCCAAGCCCAATATTGCACTGGGAGGAAAAGAAAACCAAGATCAACTCGAACATCATGCGTGACCTGCGTAATCCTACAATCCTGAACTTAGTGTTTTCATGAACTTAACGATCCATTCCTGAGCAATACCCAGCCTTCCTGATCGACCCGCGCCCTCGGGTGGCTGGACGTATCCCCGTGTTCCGTCCCCATTCTCCACAGGATTCTAACTCAGTTTGAACACCCCCCGCGGTACAGCAGGCGAAAAGTACCATCGACGCCGCAGCTCGGACGACGAGTAGAACCCCCCTGCGTCCGCCAGTCATCCACCTCCTGAACAAGCCTTCCCGGCCACGTCCTCCACGCCAAGCTTCTCCGGCTATATCACCCCACCGACACCCCGCCGATCACTCTCTGTGTTGTCCCCCCCCCCGTATACCAATAAGACCTTGTCACCTGTCTGAGGGTCCTTTTGATTCTCCCATTCGCCATCGTGTCCTGCTAGAGGCCGTGAGCCCAAAGCCATGACAATACTTTCTAACAGATATGCCAACATCATTTCAAAGATGACCGTTTCACGAACCCGAAGAAAACGAGACAGCTACGCAGGGCAGTTCCTACCTTCTTTCAGCATTATCATTATGTGGCCCTTTCAACTTTTATTGTAACTCAAGTCAATACGAGAAATGCATTTGTAGCAATATTCAGGAACCTTCTGATTAATATTTACCTTCTACAGTGACTGCCTAAATTTTGGCGCAATGAAATCCATGAGGATTCTTCCTGAAGCTACATTCACTTGACCGTGACAAAACACGTCACACCGTAATCACAGTCCATAGCCCGTCACATTCCCCAAGTACAACTTTAACCTATGCGTCCGAAAGCAGATTAACATTGCTCCGTTTGCCACTGCTCAAAGGAAAATCTCGTCGCTCGTTTTCCCGCTAACAAATTCCCATCCATAAGCGCTTTGGTACACACGAACCAGTGTCCTTCCATCCATCCATCCAGGCTAGGCTCGTAGGCCGCACGCGCAAGGTTTAAGCAATACAACTAGAGGTTCCGAAACGCATAGGTTTGAGGGGAAAAGTGGAAATAATATAGATACAGCGGGGAGTTTAAAATTACTTGTGAGGCATGCTTCGTGGCAGCGGAATCGAAGAACCAACCCAATCTCCTCGAATCCGCCCCGCGGCCATAGAAGATACGTCGATGCGAGCACACGAAGTGGCGTATCGACCGACAATTTTATTGCGACCCTATCGATGAAAAGAATTATCGGAGTGTTACCTCTCCACTCCACGAGAGCAAAATTTCCCGACCGACAATTCTGAATGTTAACAGGCACACCCACATTGTTCTTTGACGTTCCGCGTAAACCTATGGCCTGGAAATGCATCGGCACGTAAGCTTCGCGCGTCAGGCCGAGATATCACAACCCGAGGCCAGTTAGGCCGCAAAGTCATTTAATGCGGATGCGTTAACGCATGGGTCCCACAGGCCAGTTCACAGGGTACAGTTTCTCCTCTCGGCCTATTCAGATCCTCTATATTCCATTAAGTCTGGCAGTGAACATTTTCACACTTCCAACTTATAGCCCGATTATGTGCTCGATATCTCACCAGGAACATGATTCCATACTCAATAATGTGCTCGAAAAAGAACCAGAGCGGTCGATGATGCAAGGCGAGAGCTGTTCAATTACAAGCTACTTGACATGCCGCAAAGCTAAGATCCCTCCGAGCCGACAGGCACGTACTCCCTCAGGATTACATGGAGTTCCACACGCGTGCAAATCGGAGGCGGCTCGGGAGGGTCTGGAGCGTGTCTAGAACTTCTCGGAGCCTTTCGATTAGGCGCTACATTTTCTCCATAACTGCAACTTTCATCACAGCGGGTTTCCGCCCGGTTAAATGGCAACAGAGTTGGACTGGACCTGGAATCGGTCGCGCCATTTCAACTCGTACCGGCCTCGTAACCTAATGCAAATACCGAATCGATTTACAAGTATGCGTAATTCTTCGTTCGGATCATCGAGTTCCAGAGCATCGCTATAGCTTTAATAATAGTGTAGGCCTTCCTTCTGATGCATGGCATTTAAAACAAGTCTCTCTACTGCTACTTCAGATCGTCATAACAGTGGAAAGCTCTATTTTCCTACATTTATACTTAATGAAGTGGATGATCCGAACAGAGGACAGGTTCTCGTTCGACCGAGAAGTGTTCGAGACGGAAAAGACAAAGACAGGGGCTGGCTCGTTCCTAGACCTTAGTCGAGCCTCATGGCTGAAACAGATACATTCTACACAATATTATGAACCGAAAGGTACGTAGATTCCAATGAAATACAATCTAAGTAATACTGTGCACCTGTTCGCAAAGTACTATACAATTAATTCTCCTATTGCGAACACGTAAAATGTTCTCGAGAATGGTATAAGCCTATGCATCCATCCGTGGGTTCGGCTTAGGCTTGGGCCTTTCAAACGAATCTCCCTCTCATCTTCCTTCGTGCGGATGAATTCACCCCAGCAATCGTTGCTCTTGGAAGAGCTGCTATCCTTAGCCCACAGACAGAATTGATTTCTCGACCGGGCGAGAATAGTACCATGGATACGGCGATTTCATCATGCTGCGAAAGAGAAACACCTTCGCATACGCTATTGGCATGAGAAAGCGTATCGACTCGGGTCTTTCCGCTTAGCCTATGGCGGAGGAAAGCACATTCTTCGACGACGAGCCACAGGGTAAAACAATGGGGTTAGAAATGAGATACACGGAGTTGCTCCTGCGTACCAGTGACCTCATCCGCGTTGAAAAATGTAGTGATGGGACGTTGCCTAAATTCGTCCGTCTAGCCTGTAGCCCGGAAAGATATGCGTTTATGGTCACCGCGCGTATTAGGCTAAGGAAGCGTAATTCTAGGCCGTATATGATAAAATGTTTAATTACCAGAAAATATCTTTCAGACAAGCACCGTTGCTCCACTCGCGCGATATATAAACTCTACTAAATTGAGCCGGGGAATGAGGCAGGCAAGAAGCACGCCAAGATGTCGCAAGTCAAGAAGATGTGCATTTCGTAAGGTGATACCCACTCAGATGCATTTTCCCCCTTTATTTATTTGAAACATGCCGTGTTTGAGTCAAACTACAATTAAATATACTTTTTAATTAAGACTGAGTTCAAATCATTATACCTACAAGCGGACATTCATTCAAGTTTACATAATAGAGCATGACTACCTTCCCTTTGATCAATGTCATTGAAAAAAAAAGCAAGAAATTATTTTCACAAGATCGTGACGTCAACGAAAGGTTGAATTCGTGTTCCTACACCTGTACTTTTACGAAAAACTTAACGTAGGAATACCAATGAGAGGGGAACGGTAATGTGCACGCACACCCCCCACATGCATCGATTATGTTATGTGCAATGCCTAGACGCAGATATATATTAAGGACTGTTTCATATCTCGCATGAACGAGAACTGGCAGACATTGCTCAAGTTCGAACGCCATCGTCAGGTGACAACGCATTCATGCATCTTTTGTGTATCTCACGCTAGATGCCGCTAACACCCATTTTCTTCCCTTTCGAGTTTTTCGCATAATCAAATACATACAATGGATAACCCCGTCAACCATTATCCTTTTTCGTTCATGCCGCACTTTAGCAATGTCTACATGTGCAAAATATAAACAAAAATACCCAGGGAAGGAAGCTGCTTACATAAACGCCCATAGGAAAAGTATATTAATCTTGACCTTCGCGACCTAGAACGTGGGAGGGTCAGGGGGGCGGAACACGGGGGTGGGGGATTATCGCTCGTAAAAAGCCAGGGCAGGAATATTTGCACTGTAGTAGAACTCATTCTCCTTCATCAACATGGCCCACATCGATCCCGACATGCTTGAATCACGGAAACCCTTCGGACGGATGAGGCGGCTTTTAAGTTCGCAATTCGGCAGGGTCTTCTGCCGGATTGCACAACCCAGGCTCACAACTGTGTTGTCCCTGGCTATAATGGTATGTGATCATAGTTCCTCCTCTGACTTAGCTGCCACATTTTTCGATGCATTGGGTCTCTTGCTCGGGCATGTTGCTCATTTCCCATGGATGTCACACAGGCACGCTCTATGATACCACGCGAGCGGGAAGGCAGGGGAGGTGATATCCCATCGTGCGGTGTAGGAAATGTAACAAATATTGGAGCGCCAGGAAGGGTCCCAATGTTTATGGGGGCGCAGGTGGAGGGAGGAACGGTGGCTCCTAGTTCCCCTTCAAGGACGAGAACGACCGGCCTTGCACCAAACCTTCTGTCCGAATAATTCACTTGATTGTCTGTTATTGGGCCAAAGATCTCACTATATCGCAGACGAAGGACTGCCTCTCATCCCTTATCTCACCACTTCGAGATGAAACGCTGGTAGATTGGCGGAATTTCATTCGCGAAGTTCTGCACAATGCCTTTCAGGCTGCCCCTCCTATGATGGGTGTCGGAGAGATTGTTGAAATCGATTAAAGTTGCTTCCGGTGAGTAGATGGCACGATACAAATTGCTTTGGATGACGAAAACAAATTTTGCACAGATGAGGTGACAACGTCATTCATATGTAACAACTTCTTTGACTCTACAGTGGGCGCCGTAAAAACAACCAGGGTCGGCTCCTAGCAGGGAATAATTTCCCTTCACCCAGACGGAACTACGACGACCGCGTTGTAGGTCCCTGGGTTTTTGGTATGGTTTGGCGGCACGGGGGTTTCTCGGAGACTCGCCTCGCTATAATGGCGCGTCGTGATAGAAGTACACTACTTCCCATCATCCGACGCCACATTCTCCCGGGGTCCACAATTAGATCCGATCAATGGGCCGCATACGGAGACTTGGGCAGGATGGGATATGTTCGTGAGACAATCGCTCAGAATTTCGTGAATCCGGTTACGGGTGAGATATCAGTTCTTCATCACGTCGAGTCCCATTTAGCACATATTCATTGCTATTTGTTTCCCAGACGCAAGAATACGCAACGCATCGAAGTGTAATGGGGGGCCACGAAACAGCGAGTAGTGAAGAGGGGGCGGGGAACCACGCAGCAGATGCTGCAAGGCCATCTTTCTGAAGGATGGTGGAGAACCATCCACGGATATCCTAAATGAGATCATGCTACAATACCTGCAATGAGGAGAGACGTACAATAGAAGACGACGAGAACGATTGACATTTTTTTCATTTCATTATGCCAGACTCTACTACTATACTAAAGTCGCAGAAACTTGTGAGATAATGGCCTCTCGTGCCTCCTGGAGAGGAGACCATGGACTGAGATAGAAAGGCGGTCCCTTTGTATTAAGCCAAAGGTTTTGCCTCAATCGTCAACTGACGGACGTCGCTTCATGGTGTGAGGGGCTAGGGCCTACTTTACTGGTTAATGATATCGACTGATGTCTCTTTTGGTCTCGGAAGCAGCAGTGTGCACGGGGGTGTGCGCATACCGTAGGAATACCCTACTCATTTACCGCTTTTTGGGTTCGTTATGTATGTAGGGGAAACGCAGCTGATCAGGAACAACCGCCTCCTTGCCTTAAAGCAGGCTGCAGTGGAACCCTGAGGGATGCCACTAAAGTAATGCGGGGGAAAACATAAGCGATCCTCCGCTGCAAGAAGTGCAAGGGGGCATGGCATGGAGTGCGAGGAGGGGAAGGCAAGCAATTGGGGTGCAATGTCCACAACAGATGTCAGGTGGGTGTTTTTTTTGCTTTTCAGGATCGCCCGAGTCGGCCCTGCTCGAAGCTCCCCATTAGAGTCATCTTGGCGCTTGCCTGGACGTGGGCCTACGACTTTACCAAGAGCAAGCTCATGTTAGCGGGAGAACTGAGTAGCCTTCGAAATGAGACCTTTATTGACTGGCGGCACTTCGCGAGAGAAATCCTCCGGACGCTCTTCGCGAATGCGCGGCCAATGGGTGGCCCAGGAGAAGTGATCCAGATTGATGAAAGCTACTTTCGGTCAGCTTCGCGTGCCTCTCTTCAAATCTCTGATATGTTGTCTACACGAGAGTATCAGGAAGCGCATATTTGCAGGGCCCGGCGGAAAAACAACAAAGGCCGCCTTATGCAAGGCAACGCCGTTCCATCATGGGAAAACTAGGGGGACGTCGTAGCCGGACCATGGGTCTTTGAAATGGCCGGGCGTCATGATGGGCACACGGAAATGCGTCTGCTTCACGTTCAGAGGCGGGAACGTGCGACTCTGCTGCCCATCATCAGACGGCACATTGCTCCGGGGACGGAGATCTGGTCGGATGAATGGGCAGCATATGCGACCTCGAGCCAGCACGGATACATCCACAAGACCGTGAATCACTAACAGCACTTTCGGATCCCGCGACTGGCTGCAATACCCAAATTATCGAAAGTCACTGGGCTTCAGTCAAGGCCCGCATACAAACTCGTGGGCGGGGAACATCGAAGATGCTGCAAATGCATCTCATCGAAGCCTGGTGGCGTTCTGTCCATGACACTCCAAGACCATTCCTTGACTTTCTTGACGCCATCAAGTCCGTCTACCCACAAAAATAGCATCTACATGCTATTCATTTTGCTCTCTTGCCCATTGACACTGACATTCTTTTCTTTTGATTTCTACTTTCCTCATGATTTTTATTATATCACTGACTTCTATCACGCGACACTCAGCAATCTGGAAATAAGCAGAGACGCATCAAAGACATGCCCCAGTTGACAGTGAAGTGCAGTCACATGGGATGTAAACGACGCAGAGAGAAGATATGCATCTGGCCACTCCCCTAAGAACTGGGATCGGAACGCGAAGCCATCGTATCAAGAACTACATAGATCTAGATCATTTACGTTGATGGAATACATCGATACATATCGGCTTCGTTGCCAAGTGTGTTTCTTCGTTATGATCAGTTGCCCAGGCGGAAAACAGGCAGTCGGACTACCGCATGACCTGCTTCAGACATGAGGAAAACTATTGCTTACATCCCTACGACGGGACATTCTGGACTGATATTCCATGAATAATTTTCCTGCCTAAATGCAATCCATCCTTGAACCGAAGCCGTTTTTACTTCGGGTACTGTAACATAGTCATGCCCACTTGCTAGTGTCGATATTGTTACGGTATGGGGTTCGGGTGAAACGGAGTTTACAGTGGGAAGTTCGTGAACAAAGCATGTTTTTTTTATTAACACTCTTTCATCCACAACCGGGATGAGCTCATCCGCCGTTCTTGCTTGCTTCCTTGACGAGTCCCACTCGACCGACGGGCATGTCCCTGTCTCCACACGAGAGAGAGAGAGGGAGGATGCCTAATTGCACCGGCCTACGTCCTCCGTTACTTTCCCGGGCCGTCACAGGGGGAGGTTTCCACCGTACTCGGGGCTTCGGTCGAACCCGTTTGCGGGTCGACAGGTAGCTCGAGCAGGAGTGAACTCGTCAGGGCTTAGATCGAGCCTGTTTAGTCGCGCCCTCTTCGAAAGTCTTCGCTGGGACTAGCTTGCGAACGGCCTTGATGCGACCGTTCATTCTCGCTGGTGATTCTTCTGCATGTCCTGTTGGAAGGAATACAATATATCTACATGTACTTATACACTACGTACATTTTACACCGGGCCAGCACATCTAATCTGATACTATACCCAATACTATAATTCGAAAAGGTCAAAAGTTGTGGTGGCGGCAATAGTCGTGGCTGTCACCCCCACCTGCGGGCCTCAGATGCAATGCCATTACTGGGTCATAGACCATGCCTACAAAGCTGCGCCATTCCAAGCCATCATTATACTTTAATTCGAAGAGCCCGTGAGTTGTGGTGATTGCCAACCCAGCGCGCGAGGCCTACGAGACTACGTCACTTCATGGCATAGGCTAGGCCATCCACCCCTCAAAGTGCCAAGTCCTTCAGGCTATGCTATTGTAGGTCATAGGCTTGGCCATTCAACGCTTTTAGCGCCAGGTCCATTGAGCTATATCAGTTTGAGCCATAGCTGTGTCAATCAAAGTACGAAGCCTAAGTTTTTTTTCTTCATTTTTTTTTCCGTTAGGTCAGGCATGGCGGTTCGGGACGTCACTTCCATGCAATAGTTTTCTGTTTGCGTTATGTCATGGCCGATTTATTTGAGTTCTCATGATTGATGAAATCAAAATTATAACAAAAGTTCTTTGTTTCATACGTCGCGCAAACGGGCCGCTCCTCCCATCAAAATGTTGGCGATTTTTGCGAGGTGAGGTTGAACGTGAAAATAAATATGTTGAAAGAGGTCCCACAGGACGGAGATGAGGCAGTCGCTGCAGATAATAAATGACCGCTGAACAGCAAGAGGCAGCGAATGCTGAGCTCAGGAATATGAGAGCCATGCAGCCTGCTAGGCAACTTTATGCAAGGAACGCAACATTCAGGTGTCGAAAGCCGTGGGGCGGCCGGGGATTGAACCCGGACCTCTTGCTTGCCGGTCAGGTGTGCTATTATTACACCACGGAACTTGGGACATTTTGTCAGGCCTCTCCATGTCATCTCAAATCACTACAGTCGTTTGCGCAGCGAGCACTGTCAGACTGTACATTTTGCTGTAGGGAGGGGCCATTTGTTTCACAATGATGCCACAACGGAAAAGTGCTTCTGCTGCACATGAGCTAAATTTCCTCTGTGCTGAAGTCTAACAAGTTCTTGGAAGTGGCCCGTACTGTTTCAGAATCTGTGGTACCTGTACCATACGCTAATACTAATAACCCATGAGTTAATCGATGACGCAAGAGTATTAAGTTTGCTGGGAAGAAGTTGTGCTGGTGGCTATCACCGCAACGCGCGAAGCCTTCGAGACTAGATCATTTTAGACCACACACTAGGTCATCCACCCCTCTAAGCGCCAGGTCCATGGGGCTATGCTATACTAGGCCAAAGGCTTGCCCATCCAACGCAATTAGTGCCAGGTCCATCGGGCTATATCAGTGTGGTTCATCCTATTATTTCCATAGGCTTCATACTTAGTAGCACCCTTTGCTTGACACAGCTAACTGAATGCGTGTCACGTTTTCACTGATCGACTCCATGTTCATTTGAATACATTCTGTGCTGAGGTGTTTTCTTTCGGTATTTATTTTTTTTTTCCGTTAGGTCAGATGTGGCGGTTCGTACCATCGCTTCCATGCAATAGTTTTCCGTTTGCGTTTCATGTCATGTTCGATTTATTTGAGTTCTCATGATTGATGACGTCAAAATAATAGTCTAACAAGTATCTGATTTATATGTAGCGTAAACGAGGTGCACCAGCCATCAAAATGTTGGCGATTTTTGCAAGGTGAGGTTGAACACGAATAAATGTTGAAGGAGGTCCCACCGGACGGCGATGAGGTAGTTGTTGCTGGTAAAAAACGGTTGGTGCTGGCGCGGAAACAACGTTTGCCACTGCAGTTGCGGTGAGAGGAGGCATTTGTTTCACAACGGAAAAATGCTCCTGCTGCAACTCACACTTTAGCACCAGTGAGCAACACTTTCAGAGCCTCATGGTAATGTGGTGGCGAGGCATTTTCTGGAATTAGTCACTAGCATTGTGCCGCTCATGCAGTAACTTCCTTCTGTGCCGACGAACAAGTTCTTGGATAATGGTCCGTAGTGTTTAAGAAACATTGGTGTCTGTACAATACGCTAACGCTAATAGCCCATGAGCTAATCGGTGATGCAAGAGTGTTGAATGTGCTAGGAAGACGAAATCAACAAAGTCCTCTTGAGTCTCATGAAAACGTGCTAAATCGCAATGGCGATTGTGGCAATCAGCTGGAATATCATGATGATTGTGTTTAGGAACAGAATCTCCGTGTATTGTAAGCTGTAAGTGTATCCACGTAATGAAGCGGTTCAGTTCCGAATGGGTAATGAGGTGAATAGAGGATTGTCAAGGAGACGTTATGCTCACAATAGGCGGTTCAAACGTCCACCTATTAGACGGCCAGCTTAGCGGCCGCTAGCGTAATTTCATCTACGAGGGGCACTAGGCTAGGGCTGTCGTTCATGTTGCTTTAGGTCGCGCCGGTTGCTCTGCTTCCTCCGTGATGTACAATCATTCATGAGGTTATCGTATTTTTCAAATTTACTGGAAAGAATGGAAGGGCTCCGGAAACGAAAAAGGGAAGCTGACCTGCCAGCTTTTCCGGTCTTCTCAAAGGAAGAAGTCCGCGCTTTCATCTTATACAACTTCCTCAAAAAAAAAAAGTGATTCCCAGTGCCTCTATGATCTGAAAACGATGTGTAGGATTAAAGGTCTCGTATGCTCCTCAATGAACAAACAAGAAAACAAGCTTCAATTTAAATAAATATTCTCCCAATACACTAACCCATCTTGTCGTTCGAGCACATATTAGTTTAATTGTGATTTTATTTGAAAAAGCTCTCTGGGAAAAGAATACACATCTACATCTGCAGATAGAAATGAATATCACGGGCATGACTACATGTGACAGTACCCGAACGCAGGACAGCCTCGGTTTTCCAGTCAAGGATCGAGATCATTCGTGCACGAAGACCATCTACAGAAAAAAGCGCGGAATTTCCCGTCGTAGGCACCAAGGTAATATTGTTCCCCTTTGCCGAAGGAGTCCACGAAACAGAATGGTAGTGAACTGCCTGGGCAACTCATCATAACGAAGAGGAATTACCACGCTTAGCGATGAAAACCGATACGGAGCAGGAATGACGCGCATTTCTATTGACGATCGTCTTCACTATTTTAACAGTTCGGTAATTAAAGACTACCACCTCGAATCGCAAATATTCCAAGATGCGGACGAGCCGGTCACTGTCCTTTGTCCACTGTCCCGTCGGGTCCAACACATAATGGTTGCATATAAGGGTTTGTTTTCTGTTCGAATGATCTATTTTAAACGTACGAGCTAATGCATACGTAGGAACACGAAGTGAGCTTTCCATTATCGTGACACGATGTCTGAAAAAAATCACGCATGCTCCAACTACTGTAGTGGACAACTTTTCTTATACATATCGCAAAATATAGCGATTTAAGCGTGCCCTACCAAGGCACTCTATACTGAAACCTACTGTGTACACTTATCACATTGCGAACCGGACATTTTACCCCGTCGATCCGCCGCTCGGACCTAAGCCTCGGTTACCTTTGACTAAAGCTCGATGCCTGCAATGCTACAACTTTTTGGGGCATAGGCCATGACCTGCGTAAGAACAAGAATCTCTGTGAACGGTACGCAGAGTGTTAATAAGATTGTTATAACTGGTATAATTAACTGCGTCACATTGTACCTTCAGCTAATCAGTGCAGAAATATTGATGGACGTGATTTCGCACATGCGTGTTGGTCGCCAC